CGAAAACCAGGAAGAGATATGCTGAGAAGTGAGCTAACATAGGCAGCGGAACAAAAGCAGCATAAAGAAGTCAACGACAAACAGAAAATGAAAGTACATGAGTGGATTAGAAAAAATGTCAGAGCTGCATGCGAGGGCGCTAAGCATAGACTGTTAACTGTATCACCAAACTTCGTATATATATTGCGACAAAATCAAGAACTCTCTGGGCGAAAGGAATACAAAGGAGTGTAAGGGGTCATCGTCCCTGGAAAGAACATGGCGAAATGCTCAGAAAGATGAAGAACTTAGCAGCCTCAAGACCCGGACTAATGCACGGAAATCAATCTGCATTACCGGATGTGATCTCTGTCTTATAAAAGATAGGTCAGCTGTATGGTTTGCCTGAGCGACAGCCGATGTATATCAAGAATTATGACATTGGTAAAGCTAGATCACTAGCGTTCGTCAGTTATCCAAATACACTGTGGTAGGGTGATCAAATTTAGATAATAACATTGTTCTGCCAGCTGTGGAAACAAGAAGCAAGGAACAGAAAAGATTTAAGGAGCATCGACTGCGTTCATGGCGCACCCACAACGAGGGTACCTCGAATGAAGTATAAATGATGAAATAATACATATTGCATAATTAACGTCAGGGTTATGTCTCATAATCTGTTTTGAGTAATGTCGACATCAGGACAAAGTCTATAGAGCGCATATTAACCTGGTTCATCATGTCTTTCCCATCCAAAGGCCGCCTAAAACAATATTTTCCCTTGTACTTGATGACGTTATCTAGAGAAATGTTCAATTTTTATGAAGATCTTCGCCTAGCATAATTAGGTGAGCTTTAAAATTAGAGCAATTTTATGCACAGCATCGTATAGTTTTCCATCAACATATCCAGCCCGACTGTGCTGTCCGCAAACCGACACACAAATTTAGCCATTGAATATTTTCATGGTGAGGTGCGGTCAATTCGAAAAGTTCTGGCATCAACGTTTCAAGGTGTTCTGAGAAATTTGTGCACCAGACTGACTCGTGCCTTTGTTTTGCTGGCCACATCTGCCAGGCTTCCACGATATGTGAAGCCCTGAATCAGCGCTTTTTCAGGCGCTTTTGCTGGGAACTGTATGCACCCATGAATGGAGTAGGTGGTGGTAGACTGTAATTAAATGTCTTCGAGCAGGTTAAAAGGCAGATCGTATTTGCTTGTACCAAATTACATTCAGTCGCTTTATGAATTCGTCGAATACTTATCGTAATCTTTTGCTAAGTTTACTTGCTTATACAACAGCAATCTCCGCCAACACGAGAAGGAACCAATGAAGACTTCGCCGTTGATTAAATCAGCGTTGAAGATCCGTTTCAGGAAATAACGCAGGATACTCGCAGCCAGTCAAATTTGATGTTATTCATCTCCAATTCTTATCAGGTATCAAGCTGAATATATAGAGACTCATTTTGACGTGGTGAGATTGCCTATGTGTCTCAGAAACCATGATGTGCTGCTGGACGACGATCAGAACAAGACAATTCGACATTTAATTGTACTAATGTTAGATCGCTGATAATTGGCTATGTTGCATCGTCCTTCCAGCGGTTCAATGTGTTGACAATATGGGATCATAGAGTCAACCGTAACTGGTTTACATAAATCTGATCGTGTCCGCTAGAACAGTCGTTCGCGGGCTACCTGCACATCTCGCTGTTCGGCTATTTCCAGATTGCCTGCTCTGACTGAGGGGAAAAAGATGCTCTTGAAAATCAAATCTCTACATACTGTTCAGAGATATATGGTCGGATTGAAATCAATACGGTCAGGACGCTTTATCAATGATTGACGGACTCCTCAACGGTTGTGCGTTGTCTGTTGTTTAAAATCTGTTTACCACCTGAGACACATAGAACATCGCATCGAAATGATGTGATGGAAAGTGACGCTTTGGCTCATAATTCCAGTTGAATCTCATGCTGACGTCTGACTGAACTTGATAGGCTGTCTGCCGCATGCCATCAAGTGGAATGAAGAGCGTCTGGACAAAAACCGAGGTTATTGCGCCTTCAATAAAGACCACTTAGTATGCTCTTCGCATAAGTAGAGCAATTAGAGCAGATAGAAAGTTTTTAGTATTCTGAGGTCGAATTTTCATGAAAGAAAGCAAGGAAAATTTTGAAATAGACACATGGAGGGTCGAATCGATAGGTGTAATACGAAAACTACAGCAATATCAGCAGTATCAGAAGTTCGAAGCTATCTGCTCCTGGGTCGTCCCATATCCGTCTACCTTTATCAAATACGGCACATATTACCATGAATGCTGGAACTTGATCAAAAGACTTGTATTTCC